TTATGTGGGGTGCCCATCTGTGTACATATGGACCAAGGACAAAAATTGACCAATCCCCGCAACCACTATCACACTGGCATCAATATTACATCAACACTTTCTCACTTAGGTCAACGAGGAAGATGCTGGCGCAGTTTAGGAATCTCCGGGATCAGGTACTTTCTCCCATCTACTGGAGAAACTTATATATATATGAAATATATAAATCACGGCATTATATGGATTGGAGGGGAGGATTCTTTTGCGTTGTACCGTGACAGCCGTCATATCAGCGTGCATTTTTAACAGGTTAGCTTTCAAATCAGTTCTGTTTTTTTTTTTTTGTTTTGTTTTGTTTTGTTTTTGTTAGATGACATCAGTAGTGTTTAGTTTTAACGGTATTTTTTTTAAAAGATTGCTTTTGCTAGTACTGTGACAACTGTCATACCAGGGCACATAATGTGTTAACCCCAAATCCGATGCCATCTAAAAAACAAGCAGAACGAATTTTGGGCTCACCCATTAAAAATACATGCTGATATGACAGATGTCACGATAGAATTAAAAGTTTTTTAATGTTGGCTAGGGTGTCAGCTTGCCCGATGGCAAGTGGACTCCTGGTGGAGTGCCCTTCCCTATATCAAATAAAAATGCAATAAAGAAATAAACACAGACAACTGTTTTCGTAATAAGAATGAATAATAACTTTATAAAGTTATCTGCCCATTATCAGTTACTCAAGTCTAATGTGAGAGGACATTTGCAAAGATCGTAAAGACGAGGTTAAGTAATTCTCTGTGTGAGGAGAATTTGGAATCATACATGTTGCTATCCATTTAAAAGGTATTGTCAAATGAATAGATGACGCCATCTATCAAGAAGCAAAACGAATTTGGATGTTTAGTTTACCCATTAAAAATGCATGCTATGACAGCTGTCACAGTACAATTAATTTTTTTCTGTCTGTAGTGGCAGACTGGCTAAGGTGTCAGCTTGCCCGATGGCAAGTGAACTCCTGATGGAGTGACCCCTATATCAAATAAAAATGAAACGAAGAAACGAACACAGACAACTGTTTTAGTAATGCAAAAGGAATAAGAACTTTATAAAGTCATCTGTCCACTATCAGTTACTCAAGTCCAATGTGAGAGGACATTTGCAAAGTTAAAGATCATAAAGACACGGTTAAGAAATTCGCTACCTGAGGAGAATTTAGAATCATACATGTTGCTATCGACTGAAAAGAAATTATTAGATGAATTTGATGCAGAAGCAACCATTGGCAGATTAGAACAATCATCGAATAAACACAAACGTTTGCTCTTAATATATTGGACTGCATGCGATGCTTTATTGTGCTTTTGAACCATTTGTTAATGTGCTAATTGTGCAGTAAACCATTTAAAAATATCAACCAATTACTTCAAATTAAAATAAATAAACAAAAATTAAAATTAAATTACAATATTCTGTATCTATATTTGGTATTTACTGCCTGTAATATGTACAGTACATATACAACTGTAATTACTAAGAAATACACTTTTTTCCCACAAATATTTCAATTTTACCCTTTTTTCCATATGTATTTTTTGTCAATTTTATTTATTCGTTATGAAAATTAAATGATAGCATTGTAGTTGTAGGTGGTCGCCTTTGTCTCCTGGCAACCAATATTTTAAAACCCAGTCCGCACTGAATGTCGTTAAACTAAACTCTACTAATGCCATTTAGCAAAAACAGAACGAATTTGAATGCTTACCAATTAAACATGCACACTGATATGGGAGCTTTTCGGGATTTTTTTTATGAATTTAGTTAAAACTAATTAAAGGGTAGATAATTAGAAGAAAGAATGTCACATCTCTTATCTTGAATATAGAAAAAGTGCATATAAAAACAAACAAAACTGGAAACAAATACAAAAAAAAACATTTGAAAGGAACAAACATTTATTACGTAGACCTTAAAACAATATAACAAAATACAATTTTTACAAATGGCTTGCAGACAAATTTCCTTTTGTGCGCCTTTTTAATAACAAGGCAAGATAACAGATAAAAAAGTATAGAAATTATAAGCTCTTAAAAAGATAGACAATACAAATTTCCAATAATTGAAAAAATCTTGAGAAAACTTTAAATAAGGTTGAAAATATTCTTTAAAAAAAAGGTGCACCCACCTAATTGAAACAAATTCATTTGCATGACTAAGATTTTTAACATTTTTTCTTTTTTAGAACACGGTTCAGTTCACAGGTTTCACTTGATTCACCCTTTTTTTTCTTTTTTTTTTACGTTTGCTTCTTCTGTGAGAAAGAAACAGCCTAGCTCAAATGTGACGGCCAAAAATAGCTTTTCCTTCTGGAACATTAATTTTATGCCTTCAGGACGAAACTTTCATGCTCCGCCTTTTCTGACTTCGAAATGTTCGTTACTTTGCTTGAACGTTTATATATATATATAGATAGATAGATAGATAGATAGATAGATAGATAGATTGTATTGGGGCAGCAGATCAATATTTAAACATATATTGTTAAATATAACAGACAACGAATGTCTATTATGTTTGATCATTAGCCATTCTATGCTTCGTATAATGACTTTAGTTTCGGGAGAAAATAAAGACAAAAAATCTTCAACATTTGGATATTTTTTTTATTATGCTGTTCCTCGATCTAAGCTTTCCGCTTATATAAGCCATCATCAGAGTGATTATATGGACATTACAACAGAGATGTTCACCATCAAAGATGACATCCTTTTATAATAAACAGCAAAATAAAAAAAAGGACAGCATAATAAAAAAAATATCCAGATAAAATTCTGGTGTCAGGATCTTAAGGTGATCCTTAAGGTAACACTAATCAGCTCAGTGACAAACTTTATACTTGTATTAATTATATATATATATATATATATATATATATATATATATATATATATATATATATATATATATATATCCTAAAACCAAGACGCTAAAAGGATGCAACCGTGGTTTTAACTATATAGGTATCATCAGGTAGTACCGACAACGTATTGGCTGTTGACAACTTATATATAGTGAGTCATTACTTAGGAGGAAGAAGAGTATTAGGAAAAAATTATTTAAAAAATATAATGATTTGCCTAGCTTATCCTGGCTCATACTTCTCCAATATAAACTTTCTTAAGTGTCTGTATTTTCCATTAATTCTGATCTTTAGTTAAGTAATTCATTGTTATTAGTATGCGTTGCAATGGCTAGTTTTTTTTTCTTGGCATAAATTCAAAGATCCACCAGTTATTTTTTTTGATATATATATATATATATATATATATATATATATATATATATATATATATATGTATGTGTGTGTGTATAAAAATCTTAATATATATGCATATATATATATATGTGTGTGTGTGTGTGTGTGTGTGTGTGTGTGTGTGTGTGTAAATAATGAATTTCTCATTCTAAATCTCTTTCTCGCTATTTCTCTTACTCTGTCTTTTTTTACGTAACCACACACACACACACACACACACACACACACACACACACACACATATATATATATTTATTTATTTATATATATATATATCCGTCCTGGGTATGACGATAAACTACGTCCAGCAGCAAGGCCTCTGATCAGGAGGTTTTGAGGAGCGTGGAACCACCTCTTAATTCCTGGTGTTCCCAGGTCCACCCTGACCCGGGGTGGTAACACCTGTTAGGGTCCCAGCTATGGGCAAATAGTTAACACCCAAACTTGTGTAAAAATATGTTTTAATACCAGAAATAATTTGTAATAAAAAAATTATTACCAGCAATAATTTTTGAAGGAAAAATTATTATCAGCAATACTTTTAAAAAAATACCAGCAATACAAACAGCTATACATTCTTTGGAAAAAATATGACCATCTATAGATTTCTTCAAGGAAAAATATTCCCAGAAATAGATTTTTAAAGAAAAACGTATTACCAGCAATAAAAATTTTGTCGGCATTAAATAACCCATTGAGGTTGATATGCCATAAAACAAACCAAACCAAACCAAACCAAATATATATATATATATATATATATATATATATATATATATATATATATACCCAAGTATAGGATTGGTGTATATTCAACATCATCACTTGATAAGACACCAGAGGTGTTGAAACAAAATGGCTATTTTTGTAGTGATTTTATAACATATTTATGTTATAATTTTTAAATAAATAATTATATATATATATATATATATATATATATATATATATATATATATGGGGTGAAAAACAATAAAACATTTTTCAAAATATAGCAATCATTTTGACGGGTATCATTATGTTATGCAATAATTAGGAATCTTTTCGTCAATTCTTTTTCAATCTTGATATATTTTTTTTTAATTTTTGTAACAAGGCATACACCTACTGAACCAGCGGCGAGTGCGAATGATAACCCCACACACTATTATTATTAAGTTTAAATTTGAACTGGAAATTGTTTTACTCCTCAAGTTAAAGCATTTTAACAGTATGGCTCTAACAGAAATTGCGATACAATGTGCCACTTTTACTGTGTTACGTTAACAAACACGCCAATATATCATTATAATATATATTCTGAATTTCATAAAGACTATGTTCAGCGTGGCGGCTAAAACTTGTAAATCCTTTTTTATGTTGAAAGCAAGGACTTAGGTAAGAAATCAGGGCCTTTGAAAAGGAATCGACCGTAGTCGGGATGACTGAGTCAATGCGAACGATCCTTTCCTTAGCTGCATATTATGTGCTTCGTCAGGGCTAAATACAGTATTCCTTCTCATAGACTGGTTGCAACACAAAGCTATAGAACCCAATCTGTTAAGTAATCGACCGTAGTCGAGATGATTGAGTCAATGCGAACGATCCTTTCCTTAGCTGCATATTATGTGTTTCGCCAGTGCATGTTTATGTTATTTTGAATGGCTTGTGGAGATAAATGTATTTTAACATACCCATGTAGCATTACTATAATCGCGATGGCTCACACTGCCACACCCCGTACGATCACCGAGGTTAAGCATCGTTGAGTCTGGCCAGTACTTAGATGGATGACCACTTGGAAATATCAGGTGCTGTAAACTTGAATGTGTGGGTGGTGTAATGGCTCGGAATTGTTAATCGGAGAGCCGAGTTCAAATTCCCGTTGGGTTCATAAAATACACCTACGTGCAAATACCATTAGGAAAGGTATGCACCCACCTCTTCTCCCCCTAGTTATGGGTTAATTAGTAAGACTTGTAACACTAAACCATTATTAATTAAAAAAATTCTAACAATCTAAAAATTTTTTCTGGCTTTAAGTAACCTGCAAAGAGATGATAAGCTCTAGAGAACAAATCAATCAATGAAATACTGATTAGCTACACAGGTATTTCTTTTAGATTTATTTACATTTTCTGGAATATAAATGCATAGAAACTGCTGTGACCACAAAATGAGGGATCAATTTATATAATGATTGTAATATACAATTGATCCCCCACTTTATATCCACATAATAATTTCTTGTTTGTTTATCACATTCTGATTATGTATGAATCGACCTCTTCTCCCCCCCCCAGCTATGGGCTAGTTAGTCAAACTTGTATCGCTAAACCATTATTATCTCAAAAAAGTCTTACAATCTAAAAATATTTTCTGGCTTTAAATAACCTGCAAATGGTTGATAAGCAGTAGAAAATGAATGAACCAATCAACTCGCGCTGTAGTAACTTTAACGTATATGGTTGAAACAAGGCGATGTATATTAGGATTAGACAATAGTTTATTCTAGCAGAAAACCGATCACATATTAGACGATATGGGTATTTATCAGTGTGCCCACGTTGCAACCGAATGTGCCACAAGGTCATATTAGAGAAGATATGAGAAAAATAAAAGAGAAGTGAATTAAAGTTTTACTTGTGAGTAGACTTGGTCGTACATTGCGTCATTGAAGTCTCCCCTGCATAAAAGTCGAGAGAAAATGGTGGTCTGGAAATAGATGCGCAGTCATTTTCAGAGATTGACACCAACAGGCAAGGCGATTGCCATTTCGCTTCACTAACCAGACTGTCGTGTGACGCATTACTTATACATAAATTATAACTGAGGCAAGAAGAAATGATTAAATTTTGTAACGCTCTACAACGTTATTAAAATAAAGCACTCAATGATGTTTACCCTGTAAGCATTTGTGCGGGACTATACCATGAGACCATAATCTATGCACATAAGACAGAACGAAGTAAGAAAAAGGAAAAGGAAGAACAACGATGACAATGATGATACTCCCACCCACCCATATGCATACGCACATACATATTTTGATTAAGTCGATAGATTATAACATGAGTAATGTTTCGGTTTGTTCATGCCAGAAAAAAAAAGTTTGATGACTAATTGAAACAAAATTTAATTATTTTGCTATGAAAAAGAATATCCTTCATATTTTTTAAAAGTTGAACGCACAAGACAAGCGGAACATGATGGCGTCACACAATGACGGGGCATTATTACATTTGAACCAGAAGTAATGAAACTATATTTTAATTTCCAAAATTATACCTTGTCTAAATTTAAAAGAAAGAATGAATAAAAATGGCAATTAAGTTATTTTAAAATTGAAAACAATTATAAAATGTGAATGTTCTTCTTAATAGTTCTTAAATTTGATATGAGTTATCGAAGTTCGTGATAGAATCTGTTCATGTCTTCAGAGTCCTCAACACAGAGCGTTGTTTTAAGAACAGCATTTGTTCTGTCATGGAAACGACTATTTTGTTACAATAGTCGGTGTAAAAATAAGACTTAATTCTGTCGTGAAAACGGTAATTTGGTTGCCAAGACTTCGCTAAGGAAAGGTTTGTCGGTCGCTTCTTTGAGTCTACGCTTGGTCAGGTTTTCAGATGTTTTGGCAGGCATAGCGAATGCCCACTCCCGGTGTTGCGTCTCCCACGCCTGTTGATTGTTGTATTGCAGGGACTTTTATAGCCAAAGATTGACTCCGATTTACCCGAAAAATTTTGGCGGTCAACACAAGCATTTCAGAGTTCAACTGGCTTGAGTAGCCATTGGTTAAAAAAGTCACGTTTATCAACACAATTTATTTTAGTAGAAAACAATTCTGTTTTTCTTCCCTTTCCTTCACCTTCAATTGACCCCCCCATACACCCTGGTTAAGGAGCTTTGCGCGCAGGGTAACAATGTTCAAGTTTCGGTAAATTCATTTATTTTCATCTTTTTCCAAAACTACCTAGATCCGGAATTTACTCAGAGTGAAAAAAAAATCTGGTCAGGCTCGACATTGTTTAACGTCGGTGATCGTACGAGAAACGGTGTTTCAACACAAGAAGAGAATAAAATGTGGTTAAGAAGAGGTGTTTATCATAAGTTAAAAGTTGCAATCAGTATTAAAATATATATATTATAAAAAAAAGAGCTAATTTTCTGTCCATCACGCTTTGTTTGCGTGTAACTTTGTGCGTGAGTATGTTTGTTACTTACATGTCCTTGTGGTATTTAATATGCGCACAAGCGCATGGACACACGCATATATTCATACAAAATTTGACTAATTTGCAAATAAAGACATTGGAATAATACATCCTTCTATCACTCAGTTTGGACAATGGCTGTCCTGGGTGAGCAACAAACTCATAAAATTTAAAAGGAAAATAAATTGTTAAAAAATGAAAAGATATATTATCAACAAATTACTATCAAAGCGAGAACATGCCTCTGTGTAAAAGGAAACGAATACAAGCCAAAATTGTGACCATTTGAAGTCATTTTTATGATTCTTTTTCTATATAAACGGAATATTATAATAAATACATGGTTGTCTATTTAAAATGCTATAATTTATATTTTAAATTTGAATATCTTGCCGTCAGCGAAGCGACGGGCTACCGAACTAGTTTATTGCTCGATCACCCATAAACCCGATGTTCATGATACAAAAATATGAGGTAAAAAAATATATTATCAATTTTATTATGAATTACACATATTAAAATGTGTATTTTCTTCTTCACATTTATTTAAAAGTACGAAACGGCGGCAAACCAGCGTGCATTTATTTATTTATTTACCATCAAGTCATATGACACAATTTTTTCCATTACGTTTTACAATGACACACCCAAATAGCGTACTCACCTATCTAGTACTTACCAAACATCCGAGATATTTGTTTATGAAAAAGTTTTAATATAGTGTATAAAACAGTGTATTGTATAAATATGTTATTTAAATTTATCTAATAATGTTATTATGATGTATTATGTATACTTATTATTTTTCATACACATAATAGTATGAAGATAATATGTAAGTGTTAGTTTATATAAGCGTATCGATACAGAACATATATCGAAAACAAATACTGAATTTCCTATTTAAAATGCCATAAAAACAAAAGAACGGCCGTAACTCAAGAACCCTTTATCTAATTTTAATGGAATCTGGCATTGCACTCGGCAAGGGCGCAAGGTATAATATACTCTTAAATTGGTTGGGGTATTATGTATCGTTTAAGCTGCATCTCAGTAACACATATACATACAAGATTAGAGTCTTAGTATATATATATATATATATATATATATATATATATATATATATATATATGTGTGTGTGTATGTATGTATTATTTCAATGCCCAATAAGTTAGCAATTTAAGAATCAGAAAATTTTCGTTAGTAACAAAGAAAAGAGCGCTCAACTGCTATATGATATCAGTCCTTCGATATGGCAGTGAATGCTGGGCTATTTTTTCGCATATGAAGAGAAAACCTGAAGCAACAGCGATTTGTTTCTACAGAAGGATGCTGAGAATACTAAGAATACCATGGACGCTTTGAACAATGAGAAAGTTTTAATGGAGAAAGAGAGTTCGGAGAATCTGACACTCACAAGACATATTGAAGGCAAGAGGAGCAGAGGAAAACATTGACTAATCTTTTGTAAAGGGATGGCAGAACAGGAACTGGGACGGATAGAACGGAGACAAACATTGTTGAGAGTTACAAAGGACAGAAAGCTGTGAAGAGCCATGATCGCCCACATGCCCGAAGGGATACGGCACATAAAAGAATACAACTTATATAACGCATTAATGTTTAATCTATGGAAGTAATGCCGTGAAAGCATGCTGCTTAATCTCATAAACTGAAGTTCTTAGCATCGACTGTTATGCTCATACAAGAACCCTATTCAATAATCCTCTACCTTGAGTGGCTCTTGGGCCTCGCGTTGAGTGAAAAATTAGTAAAAAAAAATATAGTGTCAATAACTTTCTGATCTGTTCTTCCTTGGACCGAACGGGGTGCAAAAACACAAATAAACCCACTGAGCAAACCCAAGTAAGTATAACTCTATACAAGAAAAATATGAAATGTAATTTTTTTATGGTAACATTGACAACTATACCGTATATATTTTCTACGCCCTTCATTTAAGAACACCTGGCTTACAAACAAGCGAGTCTGGTAGATGTCTGCAGGTGTAGCCTGGAGATGTGGAAATATGTCTCTGTGGCAGTTTATATGACTCGATATGAAAGAAGAAAAACTAAAAATTAACTGAAAGTTAAACACTAAATTGCTTATACTTGGTACTTGGAGAAGAAGATGAAACGTTTTAGTTTCCCAGCTGCCATGAGTTAGATATTCACTTACCGCCCCACGCGGTCGGATGTGGCAGAAGGCCGAGTTTATTGTGGAGTGTCCGAGTCCGTAGGCTCAGGCAAAAATTCCCCGTAGACCCCGTAAAAACGGGGTCGGGTAGTTGTCTACCACCCCAGACGAGACTCTGCCCTTCGGTATAGCCTCGTCTGGGTTCCTCTCTGCCCAGAGGCAGAGAGTTCGACAAGCACACCTCCGAAGTAATTCGGAGAGGGATCAATGAGTTAATCCAACGGTCAATTTCGGAAAAAATATTAAGAGAGTCGTCATCGACAGTCAAAACGGCAACATTTACCAACATTTTTTTAACGTTTCAAAGCTTAATTACTTTCACAGGATAATATTTTTCTTGAAAGATTAGATAACTTACAAGGAGATTAAAAAGAACAAATAAACAAGAAGAGTTAATTAAT